AGATAATTGACCTAAGAGGACAAAACTCCACATCTGTTTCTGCTTCTGCATTGTTTAAAACAATTACTTTATTTATTAACTCATACATATCTCATCTGCTTTTATAAACCCTAACTGGGCCTGTTTAACTGTTTTTCCTTAACACATATAGTTGTTTACTAAGAAAAGCTGTAGACCCAAATATATAATCTACAGAAATGGCGATTTCATCAAATAATCCAACAGATTAAGGCCCCTTGACTCTGGCGCCTATAAATACAATATAGTGCAACCAGCTCCCTACTGAAGTCATCAAGTTTGAAAATAGAGACACTATAAAGCTTTGTAAATGTAATTCACTTTACTGTGCCGCAAAAGAGAAATTCACTCTCTGCATCTAACCCATCCCCTTTGGAAGCAGTGGGCTGCCATTGTGTGGCTCCCAGGGAGCAGTGTGGGGTAAAGGCTTTTGCTCAGGTTGTGGGGATCAAACCAGGTACTTGGAACCGTTCCAAAGCACAAGCGGACTGCTCTGCACACTAAGGCCAACACTCCCACACTAGAAGGCTAAAAAAACATTGTAGTGGCAGTATCATGATGTGGGGATCGGTTACCATTTGCATGTTTCCAAGCAATACACTGCTTTGTCTATATAAGACTCAAACTCATTGCCGATCCAGACATTTGAATTGAGAAAGCTTCCTGGAGAGGTGGCGAAACGTCTTTAAATCTTGGAAACCAAGTCCAGTGGATTTTTCTTTACTTTTACGGAATGACTATGACCTGGATGACTGAGAATCTTCATCAGCATGATGTGGGGAAGCTGGTCAGAGCTGATGCGAAGACCAATTGGACATAAATACAGGGGAGTCCTTGAATGAAACCGGTTTGGAAGGGTAAGGTTATTTTTAAGTACAAAGTACTAACATTCATAAATAAGTTATTTCAAAGTGCTCAACATCTGAGGTAAGACTAAAAAATATATAAAAAAAAACAGATATTTAAGGCATGAAAACAAATTCTTTAAACAGGTAAGTAAATCTCTTTTCCACTGGCCGAAAATCCCGTCAATAATCGGCTTTTAGTGGCAGTGAGAACGGCTCAATGACGCGTGGCGACCCGGATTACGGCTCGGCTCCGATCGGCATACAGTGGGATCATCAGACCCGTGGCGAAGTCATAATTTAGCTGATATTATTGAGCGCGCCATACGGATGTCAACATTCCGCTCCAGTCGCTTCTGATCTAACAGCTCTGTTTAGATTCAATAAACATGGCGCAGCAGTGGTGAGAAAGATTCAGAAAGATAAAAGAGGGTAACAATAAACAACAATCGCTATGCTCTGGCTTCCTTCCATGTTGCGCTCTATTGTTTACTTTCCTGATTTTTTTCTTGCACTGATGACATCATCAACACTAACCTACAGTAATGGCTACTCAACTGGCCAGCTGGATGTCAGGCCCAGCTTTTTTGCTAATGGGAAGGGAGCGAACTGCCGAACGTCAGCGGTTCAACCTGGGTTTGAAAAACCCGGGTTAACCCGCTACGTTCAGTGGGAAAGGCTTTAGTGTTAGAGCCTCCGAATGGCTCTAGATGGGGTTTCGGAGTTCCTATCCAGCAGGACAGCAAATCCATGTTTCCAGAACTACAACAATGACTAAGAACAATCCACATTTATGTGTTAGAGTGGGCCAGTTAGGATCCACATCTGAAACCACATGAGAATCAGCGGCAAAACTTAAAATTTGATGTCCACAGGCACTCTCCATCTAAAAATATAAATGTTTGATTTTCCTTCCTCTTCATAATCTCACGTCTTCTGGGTCGGTCAAAACAAGCCACTAGAAGCCCTTGATCGCATCGACTGTAACACAATAGTGACACAAAAAGGTCATATAAAGATTAAGCATTTGATTGAGACCCACCTCCCAGCCCTCAATATGGGACTGCCATTCTTCTAAGATTTCCAACTTTTCCATCTGCCTCTTGGCTTCATTGATGTTGGAGCACACTGCCTTCATCACCTGAAGGGACTCCTGCACCAACGCGTGGTCGTTGTGCTTCTTAGGGGTCCTCTTCAGCAGCTCCTTTGAAGGTAAAAATAACACGTGTACACAGAAAATGATCACACCCTCCTCTGCCTTTAAAACACACAAGTCGGCCGGTAAATCTTCCAGCTTAGATGAGGCATGAAAAAAACCTGAAAGAAAAGTGTAGGACATTTTCCTCTCCGCTTCACTTTTCTCCCTTCAATAGCTTTTCAGATCAGCGCCACCGCCTGCAACGGTCTACCAACAGCGATGGGAATCTCATAGTCTAAACAGTGTTTCAGCATGTCAGCTACCACAGGGCAGATTTACACTCTTCTGGATATCTCAGCAGCCACTGATGGCTATCTGTGTCACTTCACAGAGAAGCGGTGCCCCCCTCGGCAGCTGGAAACCTTCAACTGGCTAAGCATCAGATTACTCCCCTTATTATTATAGCATATCTCTGCATATGCTGGTGGCTGTTTAGGGAATGCTGAGTGAATTAATAGATCTCAACATGATGAATGAAAGCAGACAGCTCAGATCACCAGCTCAGAAACACAGGCTTTGAAAACATATTGCATTTCACTCACACTTAACAGAAAAAAGAGAAAGAAGTTAAAGCTAAAAACTGGGTGTGCAGTTGTGAGGGAGTCCAGTCAGTATTCCTGGATGGGCAGTGGTGGTTATAGCACTGCAGCCGTGCCACTGGGCCTCAGAAATAAGGCAAAAAAGTGTCAGTGTCTGCAAAACATAAGGGCCATACTCACTTTCAGCAGCAGCGGGTACTTGCAGATCCTCTGAATGGGAGCTACCAAGTAACCTTCAAGTGGGACCTCAGTGTTTTTCCTGCCTCCCAGCAACATGCAATTCTGCAGCAGAGATGGAGGAGAGCAGGTTAAAAATTAGCTAGGTCTCTGAGGTTTAAATGGTCGATAGCAACCCCTAAAATACAGCTTTGTTCTTGCTCCCATCTGTCAAAATCTCAAGCCTCTAATCACTAAAAGATTTTCTCCAGCATGTGCAAGCTGTACCTCAATTTCTTTGACATATTTTAAATAAGTTGTTTTATTCATCAGAAATATAAATACAAATTCATGTTCTAAGAAAAACGGTGCAAATTAATGAATTTAATTAGTGCTTTTTAAAAGGATTTTGTAATGACAGCTGCTTCATGGTGAGGAAAAAGAGATGGAGAGATAAATTGATCAACTGGACATTTACACTTTTATTAAATAAACTGGAATTATTCATAGTACATTACCACTAAATAAACTAGATCAGACTGAAATTCCCTGAAATCTTTTACTGATCATGGATGGATGGACGGATGGATCATGGATGGATGGGTGGATGGATCATGGATGGATCGATGGATGGATGGATGATGGACGGATGATGGATGGATGGATGTATATAAGGATGGATCCAACCCAAAGTGTAGCTGACACGCTCCTGATTTACAGAGCTAAACGGAACTTTACAGCAGGCAGCAGGTCAAAGGTTCACTGGAGGTTAATGGACATCCTCCCACTGAGCACAACAGCTCCCAGTAGGTGAGCTGAGGTAAAGTAACACGTGTTTTTGTGTGCAGCTTGGAAAGTAACAAGAGAGCGTAATGACAAAGATGGAAAGCTTGGTCACAAAAAGGTCAGAGCTTTACATCAATGTCAATTAATACCTCTCTTCTTCTAGCCCCTCTGAGTAAGGAAACAATCAAACAGGGATTTGGTGCCACTGTTCTTTTATGACATGTACAACGTGTGCATTTACAGTCTGATATCCTCAGTCTATCAAATACAAACTAATGAAAAGGTTACAGGTTCCTATCTCGGGAGGAGTGGATGCATTCCAGACGCCAAACATGAAGAATCAAGTCTGACAGTGCTTTTAAAAAGTTGGGAGTAAAAAGCTGTCCAGCTTAGCAGCTAGTAAGTGTGAGTATATTCTGGGAGCTAGAAATAAGGATGTATTCGTCTTTTGTTCTAGCAACATGATACTCCCATGTGGAAGTGAAAGTTTCCCTGGAACAGCAGGACAGGAAACAGAAGTCCGCCCACACATGGGGTAGAGTTGTCTCAAGCAGGCTTTGATACTGACCAAGCACGCACGTGTGTGTGTGTGCGTGTGTTTTCTGGTCAGAGTTCGCATAAAAATCCATGTAGCAGCTCAAGCGCTGATGCATATGCTTCTCACCAGCAAGCATGTCCTGATGCTCCTGGTCTTATTGAGCTCCAACAGCAGCCTCTGGGCCTTCTCATGATTTCCGCAGTATTCATCGTAAACCTGGAAACGACTCCTCTGGGGGAGACAGAAAGAGGAAAAATGAGCCGAAGCAAAACAAAGCAGCTTAAAATGAAAAGAATTCAGGACATAAATAGAAAATTGAAGCACCTCAGTGTTGTGGGATACTTTTTTTAAAACATTCACCCATCCTGTCAATTCAAGAGATTCTTTACCCAATCACCTCACCTTAGGAAGGGTTGAGTTAAGGCAAAATTATGCTACTGACGCATAGCCTCTGCAACCTCTGTGCGACCACGCCCCCCGCACAGAGGTTCTGCAACAGTCGTCACGTACTTCAAAAAAATCCTCATTAAGCGTCCGACGGTCGCAAACCTACACAGACGCGAAAGTGCGCAGACAAAAAAGCAGCTGTGATCGGTCCTTGGTATGCCTTCCCGGCCTGCTGTGTGGTCGTGCTTGTCGATTCTGTGCAGGGGCGCACCATTTTTAAAAACCGTGGAACAACTATAATGGACAACTATGACGAAAGGTTAATCGAGGAGGTTCGGAAGTACAACCACTTGTACGATGCCTCAGACAAATTATATAAAGATGCCAAGATCTCTACCAAAACAAAGTTCTCGTGACCATCCGCCGAAGTTCTCGCAGGTTCTCAAATAGGCTCCCCATTGCGCTTTGGCGGGAAACTGCTGTGCGTCCGTAGAAGTTCAAGACCGATGGTGCAGAAGCATACCAGCAAATCTGGTTCACAACTAGACCCAAAATACATTTGATGTGTGCAGTTGCAGAAGTATAATCCACCCTTTATTCTCTGATTAAGTTTACAATAACAATCTCTAAAAACGTGCCTTACAAGAAGTTAGCCGCTAAAAAACATTGATAAGTGAAAAGAAAAGCAAAACTACAAAAACGCTATGAAAATATAAGTTTTTGATCTACAAAAGGTGGCTTGTCCCCTTCAGCTGGAGGAAAGTCCCTGCCTTAAGTGGAGGAGCTCAAGTGTCTTGGGTTCCTTTTCACAATAAGGAAGTATGGAGCAGGGGATCGATAGCTGGAACAGTGCGGCTGCTGCTATAATGGAGAAGCTGGTCTGAGGTGGTGAAGAGAGAGCTGAGCAAAAAGGCAAAGCTCTCAATTTACCATTTGGTCTACATTCCTACTCTCATCTATGGTCATGAAATCTGGATCATAACCAAAAGAACGAGATCCTGGATACAAGTGGCTGAAATAAGCTTCCTTCACAGGGTCCCTGGGCTCTACCTTACAGATAGGGTAAGGAGCTCTGTCATCCGAGGGAAGCTCTTAGTAAAGCGGCTTCTCCTCCACATCAAGAGGAGATACATCGGAAGACAAGCATGACGAGTATTTATATTCTCAAAGCTTGTTACATACTCCACAAGAAGAGAGACGTTTTTTTCTTGCCACATAATGACGTCATTTTGCTTTTATGAGCAGAAGTTTTCTCTCAACACTTGTCCAAGAGCAGTTGGGCAATTTGAAAATGATTTCCCTCTTGTTTTCGAGTAACACATTATTTACATGAAGCATTTTGCTCTGTCCCTCTTCTTGATTGATTAGAAAAATGCATCCCATGTCTTTGTGTTGCTGTTATATTTTCTTTTGCAGGTGTGATCAAAGAACTTTCTAGGAGTTCAGCAACTTAGCTTCTGGCCAAGTATCTTTGCTGCTGAATTCACCAATGAATCCGCAAACAAGTGCAAATATTGGCCTAGTCCTATGCAAGAAAAAAAACACAAATATCAGCCAAAAGTATCTACCAGCTAATATATGGGTCTATTGGCTTGATCAGCAATGTTTCTGTTCTTACCGAAATTAGACAAATTGCTTAAGGAGCCAAAGAAAGACAAGGCTGAGCCATGGTAAAAAGAGGGAATGTTTGGACAAGTTTGTTTTAAAGATTTTCAGGAATAATTATAGATGACCTTTTGGCAAAACCTTAAGACTGCACTATACATGCACCTTTATTAATTTAATCCATACACATACTTTAGTTTGGAATAAAATTTTATTCTTAGTTCAAATGCATGTGTTCTGTTTGTAAGCGAGCACATTTAGTTCACTATATTTGCTTGCATTCATTCATCTTTCTTTCTGTTTTGTCACTAATCTGTTTCTTGCCTATGGTGCCTAGGAGCTTGGCCAGACAAAAGATGGCAGCCAGGGCTCAGATCTGCTAAATGCAGGAGGGGAAATTGGACTGTTCCATCTGCTGCTACTAAAAGGGGGGAATTTGAATTTTCCTTTTCTAATTTTTCACTTATGATTTGTTTTGTGGTTGGTGTGTTTTCATTTTTCAAAGATATAGATTAATTTTTGCCAAACCTAACTGTACTGCTGATGTTTGTAATTTGTTGTTGCTTTTTTTTAGTTTGAATTACCCCTATTGTGTTAATGGTCTGATTAGCCAGTGTATATATATACCCTTGTGTGTCATTTTTTTTGTTAGGTCAGTTATGTTTGTTTATGCAGCCAGATAGTTTGGGCACAGTTTGCTTGAGTAAAATGTTCTGTTTTTGGTTGGCATCTTTTATGACTTGAACCCATGTATTTGTTGTACGTTTCTTTTTTGGGTTAAAAATAAAAAAAACTATTTTTTGTATAAATTCCTGCGACTCCTCATGCTTCTTACCTTGATCCGTCACAAACCTCCAACAATTTCCACTTTACCCAATACAAAAATCAGTTTACCGGTTGAACCTTGAACAAAGTTGGGGGTTGCAGTGGAATTAATCTTTAGGAATAAATGAGAAAAACTAAGAACTGTGTTGTAACGGTAAATGAAATTATTCAAATAAACTGAATACAACAGCGATACAATAGGCTAGAATTATGCAGCTTTAACTCAGTTAAAGATCTTTGTATAATTTCTGAATGAAAACCTCAAACTAAAAGTAACACTCTAATTTTAGTTAAACCTTAAAGAAATTCTCTATCAAGTGTTTTGTTAATCCACCTTTTTAATTACAGAACAAGGATTTTGCAAGGTCAGCTGAACTTAAGACATTTGGTTATTCATTTCTGGTACGAAATATAATAAACACAAAAATAGAGGGAATAAAAAATCTGAGCTGACATATACATCAGAAAATTCTTCTCATTTATCTGGAAAGACATAATGCATTCTGTGGTGAGAGCCTCTGCAAGCATTTGAAGGATGAAGGGGCAGCGGGGTTGTGTCCTCCATCATATCCTGTCATCCGTCTTGCAGCCATATGACCAGCAACTATCCACCAAAGCGATTCATATGACATCCCATGCTCCATTGTCTTTGAGAGACCAGATCACGCAGACTCTAAATCAGTCACTACAAAGTCACAGCGGACCCACAAAACATCCTGCAGTCTGCATGCGAGCCGCTGGGCCAAAGTGATGAAGACGGAGGTAAAGATGCTCAGATTAACAATCACAGTTGCAGTTTTTTTTACTAGAAAACCGGTTATAAACTCATGTAGTGAAAATTAGTTCAAACAAGTGGTGCAAAACAAAGAAGATGGCTATTTTCCTCAATTAAACTGATTATTTTTCATCTTTTTGCATGAACACCAGATTTCAGTGAGGGGAAAGTTTGGGTAGAAAAGGCGTCCTCTCTGTGTACTCACAGGATGACTTATGACTGATATATGGTCATAAGTTTTTTAGTTTGTAGCTTTGAAGTGTGGCCTTACCCCTAAATCAAATTATCTCATAATAAACCTCCTGCCATCTGTACTGCTGTTAGATCATCTTTCTTTTTCACCCATCTCTAACAGCGGACAGCAGTGGCGGGTCCAGAGGTCCAACAGAAGGACGGTCAGATTTATTGCACTTTAAAACCTATAACAGGCCAGTATGCCTCATGGACCTGCATCAAAGTAATGTGATATATGGGGTCTCTGATCAGTATATCAGAGCCACATCAAGAATATCATACAAGTGCCCCGTTTCATTACAAGTAATCCACAGAGATTCATTGATGACATGTGGAGTATCATTTCGTTTACAGTTGATGCTGGGAGACCTTACAGTGCTTTGAAAAAATTTTAAGACCACAGTGAAGAATGCTTTAGCAGATAGAGCAGAAAGCTACTTACAAAACGCAGGAAGCAGCGGCCGATTTCATGGTGAGGGTGAGGGTCGGGCTGCAGCAGCTCCTCCACCATGGAAAGGAAGTCCTTATGGACAGCCAGAATCTCCTCAATGTTGGAGAATAAAACCTGAGAGGTAAAAACACTGCATTAATAACTGAAAGCGAAGGGTTTTAAACAAGATGGTTTAATAGCATTGTGTTTCCTATCAGCTTCAGTCTTACTTTATCCATTCCACATCTGTTCAAGTTTAAAAATAAATTGTATTGTATCTTATAAGGATTTTAATGCAACACAGAGTTGTGGATAAGATAAAGATGTTTAAACAAAAAGAGTTGTGTGTGGTACGTATTTATGAACATGGTATTTCGATCTCTATTGTAGTTTCAGGCTCCCATTTCAGAATCTTCGTCTTTGTTCATCTTTGCGTTTATCTTAACCAGCGGCCCATTTCCTGCTTTGTAAACGCACCCCACCCCCAGAATGATGCTGCCACAACCATGTATCGCTGGTGGGTTGTGAATGTCTAAGGCTAAATTCATGCAGCAGCCGATTTTTTTGCTCACATGTGACCTGTATCTGATCTTTTTATTACAGTCTGAACAACACAGATCGTCTCTTTATGCAGAAGTGAGAAGAAAAGCAACAACAATGGAAGACGATAATGCGGAGAGCAGTCTTTATTTTCAACCCTCTTAAAAACATTGTGTTGCTAATGCACTGGCTGATGTTGGGCAAGAAATTAAAGATTGCAAGATGCTCTCCAGCAATACCATCTTCATAAACACAGAGCACGCTCACTTGTGACATCATTGTTTCCTCTTCCTCGTATGTGGGACACTTAAGTTGGGTGACATACAAATAGGGGTGAGTATTGGCATGTGTGCTGCGATACGATATATGTAACGATTCTTGGGTCACAATAAGATATTATCACGATAATGCAATATCACTATTTTACTATCTAGATTTAAAAAAAGCAAGTGCTGTATGTTTTTTTAGAATCCATTTTGTTTGGGGTTAGAGTCAGTCCATGTCTTCCACTCTGACTGCCTAATCTACAGAAATGGTGCTGCGCCGCACAGCTTCATGCGCTATCTGCCAGAGTGACGGTCAAGAGGAAGCCCATTTTCCCCTCATTGGTTTAGATAATTTATCATTTTTAAAAATCTATTTTTTCCCCATACCCCTACATACAAGTCGCATGTATTTGGAAATGTGAACGACCATGGAAAAGAATTAAAATTGATGCCTGCAGTGTGGCTAAAGGCTGATTTATACTTCGAAAGTAGGTGGTCTAAGTAGATGTTACGATAAACGCAGAGACGTCGCCGCCCCATCCGCAGACAATTTGCTGCACCTCTCCCAAATTGTAGGTGACCGCAGGCAGTGCCGCAGACAGGAGGCCTCCTTGATCTACACCAGGGGTCTTCAACTTTTTCCATGCCAAGGACCCCCAAACTGATGGCGAGATGGAAGCGGGGACCCCCTAATTATATATAGTGTATGAAATTGTGTTATATCAAACTGGTAATAACTGGTAATAAGTAATTTCACTCTGGGATTATTAAAGTATTTCTGATTCTGATTCCTGGTTGATGGGACAGGTGTTGTGAACGAAACGGTGTCCAGTTTGAAAGAGCTCCTGTGTGTCGCTGAATGTGTGCATTGATGACTGAAAGACATCTTCTGCCTCCTTTTATCCGTTTACTACAGTGTGTTGAATTCATGTTAATATGGATTTAAAGACATTTCAATTATTTGAAAAAAAAATGGCAGGGGGAATATAAAAAAAAAAGTCTAATCAAACAATCAAAACTTTTGTGACCCCCATGCAGTACCTCCATTTACCCCCTAGGGGTTGCAGACCTCTGCTGTACACTATGCGCATCTCCTGTTTTGTACCTTACCAGCTTGTTTTGTTTGAATGACCGCCATTGCGGAAAACGACTCGTGAAGTTGGTCCAGCTAGAAGAGCGAGGTGCGTGAGAATGCTTGGACCCTTTTTCCACCTGGACTCCCGCTCTTTTTCGCCCTCATGTCCCTCCATTGTCAGACAAACTTGCCACATTTCCTCACCGCCTCGGCCGTATCTAGACCCACTGCTAGTTCTTGATTGTACCCTTTTGTGTTGTGGCATGGAATAAACACAAAGACCAAGCTTCAATATTGAGCATAGATCAAAAATGTCTGCGTCATACCTGTGACATGCTCACTGCGACACACTGCTGTGGGAGCATAACCAGCCCTTTTAGGAGGCTAAGAATTTTTTCCCCCCACACATTTCACTTGGCATTTTGTCAAAATAATTCATTTGGTCTCACCTGGCCTTATCTCTTACATACCTCGCAGCAAATTGCAAATGAGACCTATTTTCCTTTTAACAATGCCTCTCCTCTTGCAGCGAAATCCAAAACGGCAGGTTTCTTTAGGGTAGAGGTAATAACTGTCCCCTAAAATGGTTTAACCACTTAAGCTATGGACCTCTGTGGCTCTCTTAGAGTTACTCTGGGATTTTATGTTACAACCTAACTCTGCTCCAACCTTCTACACAGCTTTATCCTCTATTTACCAATGAATTAAGTTTAACAATACTTTTGAAATGCATGCTTTACAGTGTGGTCTCTGGTGTCACACTGGTGATTTCAGTACCCCCTGGTGTTAGAGAATGTTTAAATAGTGTAAAGCTATTAAAATCAGCAATCTTATGTTTGTTAAGGGGTTAAAAATAAATGCTATAGATGCCATGCAAATAGAAAGGTTGAATCTGAAAGACTTTGATCGTTGAGCTTTAACTCTGAAGGACTGGATGTCATTTAGTCCCCTTGTGACACTGCAGCCATAATAACCTCCCTGCTATCTAAAAAAAAATCCCTCTTTGCACAGCATGTTCCCAAACAAAACCTAAAACACGAGGATATATTCCAAAACACGGACGTGCAGTAAATATCCTCTGAATGCGTGTTTACCTCAAAAAGTAAGCAAACTCACAGAGAGGCTCCCACTGCCACGGAGCATCCTTTATTATGCTCCAGCCAGAATCATTTATAAATAGATTAGATATTTGCAGCTGTTTCCTGCATCGCCTACGTCTTTCTCCATTCAGGCCCTGGCTATTTCAGTAAAAAAAATAAAAAAACACCCCTTACGAGCACTAATTTAGCTTTCCATGTCATTTCCAGACTTTTAACAGATCGGGTTACAAAGAAAAATAAGACTTCTTTGGATTGTTGAGGGTAAAGGTTAATTACCTTCACTGTTATTTCAGGTTTTTGATCACACAGTGACATAACCCAAAGACGAGCCTGCTTACCTTGACCGTTTCCTCTGTGATGTTTTTGTCAATTTTGGTGGCCGCGTATTGGTTAAGACGATGTAGGAACACCTAAAGGAGAGGCAGAAGAGAAACGGGGATTAAATTACTTAAGAGGCCAAAAAGATTTGAAGCTTTTTCAGGTGCTGCTGCAACAGCTCACAGCCACGGACCATTAAGAACCCTCACAATGGAAATCTGATACTTGAAAACATAATCTTGCACAGTTAAGAAAAGACGTGTTGAGTTTCATATGTAGCATTAAGCTGCAATAGATGTTAGTTGGAGAGGCCAACAGGGTGTGAAGTGAGATGGATGGAAAGAGCTCTTACCTCTAAAGATCCCTAATGACTCTAAGTCCTATACAAGCCCTTATAACAAAAATAATGCTTCGGAGCACTTTCTGAAAGTGGTAAATTAACAGGTTGCAGTTGAGAGCTGCTCTTCAAAATGTGACCGAAGTGAAAATTACTCATTTCCTCAATTCTGCCTGGAGGAGAGCTTTAAAAGAAAAGGACATCCATCACCAGGAAATCCAGAAAAGTCTTAGTGTGTGAGAAATTGTTGGTGTGCAGCTGAGCAGACATAAAAAAAATGTATTCCCTTTTGACTGATGCCTACACCTTACTTCAGCAAAGAGGTTCAAAAGCAGGTTCAGTCTTTAACTTGAGACAGTGTGTGGGGGAATCACATCACACAGCTTGAACTTCTAATGCTTTTAAATCTGTTCTTAAACAAATTTACCATCTTTCTGCAAGAAAAATAATTGAAGATGGTATTTTAGTTTTTCTATAAAGCATATCTCCATAGGTCTCTTATTAGCCATCAGTATTTGAGCTGCGGCTGTTCAGTGACGCAGTGGGTAGCACAGCTGCCTTGCAGCAAGAAGGTTCTGGGTTCGATTCCAGGCCCAGGGTCTTTCTGCATGGAGTTTGCATGTTCTCCATGAGCATGCATGGGTTCTCTCCAGGTAATCCGGCTTCCTCCCACAGCCTTGAGCTGCAGATAATTCAGTTTGAAGAAGCAAGTAAGCTAAGAGTCGAGATAAAGGTCAGAGAATTAGGGTCAGTCTAATACCACAATACAAATTCTGTGTATCAACATCTTGGTAACTATGAAGATTTTGTGGATCCCGAAGTTTATGACGGAGTCCTCCGAGGCATTTGGGTTGAGGGTGCACTGCAAAGACTATCTAAAGAGTAGTCCCAATTTCCTAAAATAAGCGTATCCTTAATTTGAGTAGGTAGATAAGATGATCTGCTGGTGGAATTTGTATTTTTACTCTTAAGACATGGCAATAAGTTATTTTGCACTTGAAACACATATACAGCAGTTGTTTTTTCTTATGATAAATGTAAATCGTCTAATTCAATTGGCAAAGTGTCTCACTTACCTGCTTAATTCAATAAAAATGCAATTATATTCAGAAAAAAAAGACTTAGATTTAATTGTTTTGCTGTGCAATAGTTGCGAACTCTTGGTTACTGGGAACACTATCAACATCTATTTGGTTTTCTATATAAAAATATCAAGAGCTCTGTCCCCAGTTTCTTTCCGTCAAGCTTGTTCCCAGTGTGGGTTTAGCTGCCAGTGCTGATCTTTGACCTTGATGAATGTTTGTGTTGTTCATAGAGGTACAGTCTGTGAGAGCAGAGTGCCTGGTTAGGGAACCTCAGGGTCTAGATGCTTGCGGATGATGTGGCTCTGGCAGCATCTTCGTGTCATAACCTTTAACTTGCACTGGACATGGCTAAAATGAGATTTCTTCATAAGAGGTCTGGATTCCACCTTTGAATGAATAATGAGCTTGAGGCAGAATGCTGCAATGTATGAACAGATGGTTGCTGAAATGGTTGGTTACCTGAGCATTATTACCTCCCTGTGAACGTCAGCAATACATCAATTGTTCTCAGAAAAAAAAAAAGCTCTATAATCTGAAATAAAAGAAGGTTCAATGCAGAACTTTAGTCCTTTGAATAAACAAAATCCATGTGTATCTTGCTTTTGCAGTCAAGCAAAAACTGAAATGTCATCAAAGGTCTGTTTGGGACAACACAAAGCAAATGCTGCATGACAGAGCAAAGGAGGCACAATACCACAGGTTCTGACATTTCACTAAAAATCCCTTATTCAAAAGTGACAACAAGAGGTATTATAGCAGATACGTGAGCAAAGAGATTAGATTTAAAGAGTAGAGTCATTTTGAAGCAAAGCTGGGGTAAGTCTTTCTCAGCAGTTCACCTGAACAATTGTCATCCCTTTACCGCCCCACTGAGGGCCATAATGCATAATGCCCGACGCAGCCTCACAGCAAGCTCTCCAATAAAAACTAACATAATACATACAAAAAAGCATGAAAAGATGTTAATTTAATGAGCATCTATGTAAAAAATTATTTTCTACCATCAAAGGACCGTGAGAGCTTCTTGCTGCTTTCTATAAAGCTTGTTTTTCCATATATTGTCTGCAGATGCTTGTGCTAATTCTGTGGTAAAAATCAATATCTCTGGCTAATCACACTCCTAATCTTGTTTCAAAATTGTAAAGAAACAAGTACAAGTGAAAAATAAAGGCAACTGAAATTATCGTAATCTAATTACACTGGCATAAAGGAGCACTTCAAAAAAGAAGCTGCGTCTGGGCATGTGAATAAACCGAGGTTAGTGGTCGGAAAAAGGGCCTGCACATAATCAGGCGCTTTGTTGTAGGGGAACTCAGTGCTGATTACAATTCTGTAGCTGCTTTGCCTTGCAACTCTGCCACTCATGAGCATTAGCATCTGATTAGCAAGTCTGATGCATGAAGGCACTGAGCAGAGTTTCTCCAAAACTTGCAAAGGCCTGACACAGTTCCAGGAAAATGAAGTGAAAGAGGGAAAATATGACTTTCTCTCCCATCATTTAAGCTTCGCTGTCACTGCATCTAGAGTAATAGAGTAAAATCAACAAAAAAGCTGTTTCTGCAGTTGAAAAGGACTAATCATGGTGACCAACAACAGCAAAAAAGAACTGCTGATAATTATCTGATCTAAACGGCTTTACAGAAACATCAGCATACCGAAGTGCAGGGAGTCTAAACCTGATCAGTTAAAGATAATGAATTAGCATTTAAAAAATAAGAGGATGGGTGTCTCGCACTGAGGGGCTGCTCTAAAACGTAAACCAACTTTTTCTGACATGTCTTTCAACCCCAGAGGAAATAGGAACTGTCTGAACTCTTGCTCTTGTTATTCCTTAATACGTTCCTGACCCAGACTGCACTTGTGGAGAAAGTCTTCCCTGTTTAGTAATTAGTAACTGTCCTGGATCAGCTTTCCTGAACAGCAAACAGGAAGCTTTTTGAAAATAGCCACCAAATTTCTAAACTTTTACAACCTGCAAGCTAGTATAAAACTACAAAGCTTTGCAATGCATCTAGACAAAACCACACCATTGGAATAGTTTCATAATAATAAATTGTACATTCCTATGACCAGATTTTTTTTTTTTTTTTTCCAATAGGATGACAGACAACAGTTTTTCTTTTGGAAGTGATTTTTTGAAGGAAAGTGGATTGGAGATTTTAGGCCAATTTATACTTCTGATTCATAGCGTCTGCAACCCTCAAATCTCTCTCAAAAAAATCCTGACTACACGTCGGACGGTCACAAACCTCAAGCAAGACCTCAAGCAGAAGTGCGCAGACAAAAAGCAGCTGTGATTGGTCCTTAGTATGCCTTTCCGGCTGTCTGTGTGGTCGCCCTTCTTGATTCTGTGCCAGGGCGCCATTTTTAAAAACCAAGGAGTAATAACAATGGGTAACCACGGCGAAAGGTTGATCGAGAAGGTTCGGAAGTACAACCACTTGTAGGATGCCCCAGACGTTGTTTTGGAAAATAAACACTCGGCCCCGCCGTGGAAGTTGTCGTAACAATCCGCCGAAGTTCTCGCAAATTCCCAAATAGGCTCCCCTTTGCGCTTTGGCGGGAAACTGCTGTGAGTCCCTAGAAATTCCAGACCGACGTTGCAGAAGCATACCAACAAAACTGGTTCGCGACCAAACCCAAGCAACATCTGATGGGTGTAGTTGCAGAAGTATAATCTGCCCTTTATGTCAAATATCAACAACAAATGTGAAAAAAGATTACAGATTTAAAGTGAATTTTATTAATGAAAAGCACATGTGGCAGAGGTAAGGGCTGCACTAGATTTCATAAAATGGCAATGATATGGGGGGTGTAGCCAGACTTCCAGCTCTTGAGACCAAGCTTAATACACAAGGCAGATACAATTTTATAGAGAGCTTGATTATCTAATCTTTAGGTAATCTTAACTCCAGAAAGGTTTTGAAAAGCTCTCGTGTGTTTCCTCACACAAAATTAAGCTTTTATTTGTATATGAATATTTCTAACCAGTTCAGATTGCTATAGAATTTTAGACATTTTTTAAAGTACGATGATCAAAATGCAAGCCTAGCTGCAAAAAAAGAAAAGAAGCTTTACACTTACATCTTCAGGAAAAAGAGGTCACAAATTAAAATCTCTTCATGCATGTAAAACAACATTACATAAAAAAAAAAATGTTGATGAAAATTACCCCCTGCTTGGGAAACAAAGATATGCATGCTTTATTTCATTGTCAATGTTTTACTGTATAAGCAGTAAGCACCAAAGAGGGAAAAAAATCCTTTTTCAGTCATTTTCTATCCCCAAGGCTCCAACCATAATTACCTGAATTGTCACTTTGAAAGCTGAGAAGGTGGCTACACATTAAAACCTCATTAAAGTTTTCATTACTTCACAGAACAGATGGGTTTGATGAATACATTAGGCCAATAACTGCATACGTGCAAACATGTTATTAATCCACACAGGTGGGTCCACTTGCTCTGGGCAACAAAGACAGGGATATGAAAAAAAAGTGCTGCTTCATGTTCATGGGTGCTGTATTCTAAGACAGATCATAATCACCAGAATTAGTTCAGTCATGATTAAGTGAGGGATTAGTTTGAGATTATATATAGCAAAAGGCCGGTGGTTACATCATAGCAAAAACTGATCAATACATAAGGAAAATGTTTTTGAAATGAGTTTA